CTGCCACCGCAGTTGGCCATGTGGGAGTCTAGTGCCTTAACCATTATGCCACCTGCTGGCCTTGTTTTTCATTTTCTATTTTGTTCAAATCCACTCTGGTATTTATTAACTCTGCTTGTTTCAGTTTCAGTTTGCTGTCACTGGGATGACAGTGATTTTTGGCAGATTCTCTAGTCTTTTCCTGACCATATCAAAATGTTAAGCTCCTATGCTTGCCAGCTGATTCTCTATTTTTTCAACAATGTCCTGGGGATGGAAATTGCTTAATGGGACCAGCAGATGGCACAATGGTTACATTGCTGGATTTCCGCATAGCTGAATACAGTTCTAGTTCCAGACCCTGCGGCTTGAAACTCATGCCGGGATTGCAGGAGAAGGGATTGCAGCATGGCCACCCTCCTGGGGATGATTTCTTGCTTTCTGTCTCTCTGTTTCTGTGGCGAACACACGCGCCCTATAGCAAAAACCTCTCCAAAAAAAAATTAAGAAATTGCTCTATAAATTGTGTCGAATGCAGGATCTTGTGAAAGTATTTTGTTCTCAGAAAAGTCATCACTTTTTGTTTGTTTTCTCTATGCAAAAATGCATCATGGGAACCAGCAGTTAGCGTAATGGCTATGTCGCTGGACTCCCACGTAGTCAACCGTGGTTCGCGTCCTGAACCCGGTGGCTAACTTAGAACTCATGCCGGGCTCATGTGCGTGCGTGCCCAAGATCCCAAGAGGAGAATGGAGAAGGGATTGCGGCATGACCATCCCCTCTGGGGGGTGATTTCTCACTTTCTGTTTCTATGTCTCTCTCTGCCTGTCTGGCAAGCGCACGCGCCCTATAGCGAAAACCTCTCCAAAAAAACAAACAAACAAAAATGCATCATGACTTTTCTGACCCCAGAAGGGCTATTTCCAGCTGTTTCTTTCCCTGGTTCTCCTACAAACAAACTAGCCTATAAATTAGTCTGTATCTCATTGACTCTCAACCTCTTTCCAATGGACTTTTACCATAATCTCTGCTGTCTTTGAGAATATCCAGTGATTGAACTTTTCCATGCTTTGGTGAAAATAGTCACCTCCTTTGAGAAGAAATCAGAAATGATCTGTTTTATGGTCTGCACTGCTCCACAGGCAAAATTTCTAAACCATGGCTCTGGGCCTGGGGTGAGAAGAATGCCAAACTTCTCGATGACAAACCACTTTAATGGGGATAGAATAGGGCAGTAGCCCAGTGTCTCCTCAGCTTGCCTTTCCTACTGTATCCTGATAGCTTACCTCACCATCTTAAGGGCTCTTGTATTTACCATTGCATTTCTTTCACTTCCTTTATTTATTTATTTATTTATTTACTTTTGAGAGGTTTTTGCTGTAGTGCGCATGCACTCGCCAGAAAGAGAGAGGCAAAAAGAGAGAAATGACCCTCTGGGGGGATTGTCACACTGCAATCCCTTCTCCATTCTCCTCTCAGAATCTTGGGCACACATGCACATGTGCCTGGCTTAAATTTAAGCCACTGGGTCTGGGACTCGAACCGTGGTCGACTATGGGAGTCCAGCGACATAGCCATTATGCTAACTGCTGGTCCTGCTGTTTCACTTTTAACCATTTATGTGTTCTCTGGAGTTGCATTTTTTTTTTTTTGGAGAGGTCTTTGCTATAGGGCGCGTGCGCTTGCCAGAAAGACAGAGAGAGACAGAGAGACAGAAAGCGAGAAATCACCCCCCAGAGGGGATGGTCACGCCGCAATCCCTTCTCCTCTCGGGATCTTGGGCACGCACGCACATGCGCCCGGCGTGAGTTCTAAGCCACCGGGTCCGGGACGCAAACCGCGGTCGACCACGTGGGAGTCCAGCGACATAGCCACTACACCAACTGCTGGTTCCCCGGAGTTGCATTTTTTTTTAAGCTTTAATTTACATTTTTAATAGCACATGTGCTTACCTGAGAGAAAAAGAGAAAAAGAAAGCAACCTCCATGGGGAATAGTCATGCCTTAATCCCTTCTCCTCCATTTCTCCTCCTTTCAGGATCTTGGTCATGCGTACACATGTGCCTGGCATGTTTTATATATAAACTAACAATTGATAAGGAGAAACTTCTGTCATTTTGCTATTTGTATTTAACATGCCTTATACCCTTTTATCCCTTATCTTTTACATTACTGTCTTCTATATTTAGAGTTTTTTTGTAGTGAAATGTTTACATTTTTTATTTCCTTTGGTGTATACTCTATAGCTATTTTATTTGTGGTTACCATAGGGATTACATTAAATATTCCAAAGTTCTATTGCTCTAACTTGAGTGTTACCAGCTTCACTTCAATAACATAATACTTTGCTCTGGGGCCAGGCAGTAGTGCAGTGATGGCACAGCTAGACCCATATGGGCAAGATCCTGGGTTCACATCCTAAAACTGTCTCCTTGAAAGACTATAGCTTTTCTTGAAAGATAGTTCTAGTGGTAACAAACTCTCTCAGCTTTTAACTGAGAACATTTTGAAATTTTTTAATTTAAAAAATTATTTAATTTAATTTATTATTATTTAATTTGACCAGAGAGATACAGAGAAAAAGAGAAAGTAAGAAAGCAAGTTGCTGGGTCTGGGACTCGAATTGTGGTTGGCCATGTGGGAGTCTAGTCCCTTAACCAACACACCACTTGCCAGCCCCATGTCTTGATTTTTTGAGTTTTTCCAGGTAAAGGATTCTTAGTTGCTTTTTTTGGGTAGCACTTTCAGTATATCATCTACTGCCTCCTGGTCTCCAGTTTCTGAGGAAAAAAATCTAATAATCTTATTGAGGATCCCTTATATATAACAAGTTTCCTTGTCTCTTGCCATTTTCAAGATTCTGTCTTGGGCTTTTTAAAGTCTGATTATAATTTGCCTGAGTGGTTTGAGTTCACTTTTCGTGGAATTTGTTGAGCTTCCTTTATGTTAAATTCATGTATTTCATCAATGTTAGTTTGTTTTTAGCCATTATTTATTCAAATATCCTCTTCACTTCTTTCTCATTCTTTCTGGGACTCCCATAATGCATATGTTGGTCTGCTTGATGTTAGCCCACAGGTCTCTCAGTCTCTGTTCAGTTTTCTCCAGTCTTTTTTCTGTTACTCAGACTCAATAACTTACTGCCCTACCTTCAAGTTCACTTTTTTTCTTGCTCTGTTCAAATCTGCCTTTGAATCCCTGCAATGAAATTTTCATTTTAATTATTACACTTTTCAGCCCCAGAATATCTTTTTTAAATTTTTTTAGATTTCCTGTTTCTTTATTGATATTACCATTTACTTCATACATCAGGTCTTAACTTTCTCCACATCTTCTTTTAGTTTCCAAGCATCTTTATTTTTTATTTTTTTAAATTTAGTTCCCAAGTATCTTTAGGACAGTTATTTTAAAGTGTTTGTTGAGTAGATCTAAAATTAAGCACAAATAACCATAGTTTATGCAAAATAAATAGGACATTTAAAAAAATGTTTGAACAACCAGAATTAAAACAAACAAAACCAAGATACAAATGACCCAGGCTAGCTGATGGCATGGTGGTTAGGAGCTGGATCCCACACGGCTAACTGCATGGTTCAAGTCCTGGACCCAGTGGCTTGAAAACCACACTGAACATGTGTGCATGAGTGCCCAAAATCCCCCCCCAAAAAAAGGAGAAACAAAGGAGAAGGGTTTGGAGTGTGATCATTTGCCATGGGGAATGCCTTCTTGTTTTCTATCTCTCTTTGGCAAGCACATGCACCCTCTGGCAAATTGAAAAATGATACAAATTACCCATTAGAAAAAGTGTAGACTGTGGAGCTTGATTTCTAATATAAAATGACTCCAACAAATGAATTAAGAAAAAGCTTGAACATAGTAAGAACTGCCAAATCGGAATAGAACACATTCAATAATAATAATAAAAAAGGCGGTAAACATATGAAAACACATTCAACATGGCTAAACACAATGTATTCGCTTATCAAATTGTCAAAGATTTATCTTAACCTTAAATAAAAGCCTATCACCAGCATTGTTGGGAAGCTGGAAAGAGGCCTCTCCTGCATCGCCCTCCTACCATTCTGGAAGGCAGCAGCTTCACAGCCCTGGCCCATTCACTACCTGTAAGAACTGAGCCTGGGGCAGTAACTGTACTTGTGGAATGATAAACATTCATCTAAGAGGAGGTTCACTGCAGCACTGTTGAAACAATGCTGGTGTACAGCAATGGAGTAAATGCAAAAGTCAGTCATGGCACAGTTGTATGATAAGTCATTAAAACATATAGAGTATGTGTGATAAGAGTAAAACGCTCGTAATTTATTAAGTACAAAAGCATATTATAAAATAAGTATATGATCCTAACCTTATAAAAATAAAACAAAGGAAAAAATAAATTCTGAATGGATTTATATCATATACTAATGCTGCTATTACTCACAGGTAGGATTATAGGAGATTTTAATTTCCTTCCTTACACTTTAATGCATTCAAGATTTTATGCTGTAAGCACAATTGCTTTTACATCCGGATAAAGAATGCATAATAAAATACATCCTATTTGGGGTCATTTAAAAAACCTTTTCACACATTTCAAAGTTTAGAATTACAAATACTCAATAACTTTTATTAACATAATATAAAAAACTTTAGTGTGATATACAGAATTCCCAGAGAGTAATTTTAAAACATTTTAATGTATGTCTTAAAATCTTATTTTACAAGACATGTTGTCTTACTGCCACTGACCTTTCAATACAAAAAGTTTACAATTTGTTTTCTATAAAACTACAGTATGAATATTGGGGTTAGGTAGTTCTTTTCACTTTCTAGCCATTCTACTAGAAGGAATGTCCATTAGTCTACTTCTAAAATCATTGTATGTCCAACAATAAGTTACATAGATTCTGTACATAATTACAACAGGATTACTGATTCCCAGTATGTTGCAACATACTACACTGCAGTCCAACTGCTATAGGCAAACAGGGGTACTATGCAAATACTACTCTATTTGTAGCCAAATAAGAGTAGGATGTGAGAATCGGCCCCTTAATCCAGACTCATTTGTGGTAAATTAGTAACAGCTTTGTTAGGCACTGATCCAGGCTAATTCTGGAACAACCTGGTTGTTTCTGTGGAGCATGCATGATTTATAAACTTTCCCACCCTCGGTATCCCCAAAACCCAACAACTTCATAACATACCCTTTATTAGCTATAAAAAAATAATCTGGGTCTTAGATTTATGCTTCGAATTCTCAGAAGCATCTAAAAGGTTTTACATTCTCTTCCTTGATTTAGGTTCAGTATATTAGATTGCTCAGTTTAGTCTAGTTTGAATAAAATAACAGAAAATGATTTGGCTAGATTTTATAGGCACACAACTCAAAATGCAAAAGTCAATGATGAGGGTACATCTCCATTTTCAACATGGGACAAGGCTTTCCCACTGCTCTTTGACTGTTCCTCAGAGTGCTCAGCAAACAACACTAAGGACATGAAAACCTTTGACTGTGCCACCAATGCTTCTGCATCTGCTAACTTGGAATGAAAATGATTCAGTACACTTCCATAAGAATGAATATTGGAGTGTCATGAAACCAGTATAAAGTTACATACCAGCCAAGGCTGTAGCTCAGAAGGGCCCAACTTCAGTAAGCCTCAGCAAATTACGAAGTAATTTGAAACTAACTATTGGTTTGTCTTCCTGAAACAGAGCATCTAACTTGACAGTCCAAAATGGCACTTAGAGAGTTTTAGCGATGACACTATTCAGACAACAGGGTGCACCAATTTCAGTGAACAGACTGACAAGGAGGGGGCGGCTTGTGTGGCCATCGTGTTGGTCCTTAAATTTGTTCCCCTTCCATCAGCCCTGCTGGCCTCAGCTCAAGCCTGTGAAATGTAAGTGAGGCAGCTGTACTAGAGGCCTCAAGGCTCCCTCCTGCATAAATTCTATAAACTTATCATTTGAAGTTGGAATAAATAATTGAATTTTAAAAATTAGAACTATATTTTTATCCTAAAAAGGTGCAAGCTTGCAATACAGTAGAAAACAACCAAGGTGTCTGCAACACCTCGTGATGCCCATGCCGGGCCTTCGTTTCCTTTCCCATCACTCCATTTCCATGCCAGTTAACATACTGGCAACCATATTTCTTAAAGGTACTTGGCAGATTCAAAGTATATCCTTAAACAATTCAGGAAGAGGTTTCTAAACTGAGCTTTGGGGAGCTGTGGAGAGAGAACTATAAAAGCACAGAGAGGGGTGAATCACCGTGGAGACTGGACTCCTCTCTCCCAGGGTCTTCACGTGTTACACCGCTGACTGGTCCCGATGCCTCCATGTCCAGACCATGCCTGTCTCAGGCCTGGTGCACTAGGCTTACATGTTGTAGGCAACATAGATTGGGTCCAGTTGGTCAGCTAGAAACCCGTCTCGCAGGTGCATGCGCTGCTTCTCACCCCGAGAATTGATGGGGATCACGCCTGGGTCCACGATGACCACCACGCCCACAACTAGGTAGTGCTCCTCCAGCACCACGTTGGTAACCAGGGCAACCAGGTCCAGTGCATCCTGCTCCAGCCCATCCAGCTCCACCACTACCACCAGCAGGTTGGTCCAGGTGAACACGGCACTGCGAGAGAAGATAGAGTGTGTCTCACAGTGCTGGTATGTGATCCTGGACCAATACCATTTCGGAGAGAGTGAAGAAAACTGTTAAGTGTTCATTAATGTTACATACTATTTAGAGCCATTTATGAGTAAATGTCAGGCTAATCACATTTTGTAGGAAAATCTTTTTTTTTTTTTTTTAAGATTTTTGCATGCACTCACTATAGAGAGACACAGACAGGGCACATGAGAAATCACCTCCACCCCCCTGGGGGCATGGATACACCGCAATCCCTTTTCTTCCATTCTTCTCTTGGGATTTTGGGCATGCATGCACATGTACCCTGTGTGTTTTTTAAGCCATTGGGTCTGGGACTCAAACCACAAGTTAGTCAAGTGGGATCCAACACCTTAGCCACTATGCCTAGCCTGGAATATCTATTCTAATTGAAGTTCTTAATAGCAATCAAGAGCATCATTTGATGCTGGAAGCTGTACCCGCCCCAGTGCAAGCACCTTATGAAGTAAAGAAATCATGTGTTGAGGCCAGCAGGTGGTGTGGGAGTTAAGGCTCTGGATTTCTACATAGCTGTCTGTGGTTCGAATCCTGGACCAATGGCTTGAAAATCACACTGGGCACATGTGTGTGCATGCCCAAAATCATAAGAGGAGAATAGAGGAGAAGAAATTGTGACATGGCCATCTCCCCTAGAGGGGTGATTTCTCACTTTGCCTCTCTCTGTCTTCCTCTGGTGAGCACACGTGCCCTATGGCAAAAACCCAAAAAAGAAATTATGCATTAAGATAATTTAAGAAACTCACATTAAGAAGAAAAATTTCAGACTAAAATCTGTAGAGATTTCTATTTTGCCTTTGCATCTGAGGATAGTCTATTGGTTTTAACTGATTTAAGAAAAGAAAAAACAAGAAAAACCCCAAAGGCAACAAGGTGTGCTCTGGTGCTATTCTGTGAGGTGCATTCAGAGGGAGAAGGACCTACGAGAAGGCCCAGGTCCTCCTGGGGAGGAGTGGGGCTGCTGGCATAGTCCATGTGGACAGAGCATGTCTGGTGCAGCCATCCAGCTCCACTAGGGACTGAAGTACCATGCAGGCCTGTCCGTGACCCAGCAGTCCCTGGTTCTGCTCCAATCAACACATAGCTCTCCTGCCCAGAGGAGGGTCAGGCAGTGTGCGGCCTCTCACCACTCGGCAATGCTCCTGTGTGCTCGGATCACGGACGTCTCGATGTCGATGGGGTGGTACCGCATGCCTCCTTTTCTTCCATTCTTCTCTTGGGATTTTGGGCATGCATGCACATGTACCCTGTGTGTTTTTTAAGCCATTGGGTCTGGGACTCAAACCACAAGTTAGTCAAGTGGGATCCAACACCTTAGCCACTATGCCTAGCCTGGAATATCTATTCTAATTGAAGTTCTTAATAGCAATCAAGAGCATCATTTGATGCTGGAAGCTGTACCCGCCCCAGTGCAAGCACCTTATGAAGTAAAGAAATCATGTGTTGAGGCCAGCAGGTGGTGTGGGAGTTAAGGCTCTGGATTTCTACATAGCTGTCTGTGGTTCGAATCCTGGACCAATGGCTTGAAAATCACACTGGGCACATGTGTGTGCATGCCCAAAATCATAAGAGGAGAATAGAGGAGAAGAAATTGTGACATGGCCATCTCCCCTAGAGGGGTGATTTCTCACTTTGCCTCTCTCTGTCTTCCTCTGGTGAGCACACGTGCCCTATGGCAAAAACCCAAAAAAGAAATTATGCATTAAGATAATTTAAGAAACTCACATTAAGAAGAAAAATTTCAGACTAAAATCTGTAGAGATTTCTATTTTGCCTTTGCATCTGAGGATAGTCTATTGGTTTTAACTGATTTAAGAAAAGAAAAAACAAGAAAAACCCCAAAGGCAACAAGGTGTGCTCTGGTGCTATTCTGTGAGGTGCATTCAGAGGGAGAAGGACCTACGAGAAGGCCCAGGTCCTCCTGGGGAGGAGTGGGGCTGCTGGCATAGTCCATGTGGACAGAGCATGTCTGGTGCAGCCATCCAGCTCCACTAGGGACTGAAGTACCATGCAGGCCTGTCCGTGACCCAGCAGTCCCTGGTTCTGCTCCAATCAACACATAGCTCTCCTGCCCAGAGGAGGGTCAGGCAGTGTGTGGCCTCTCACCACTCGGCAATGCTCCTGTGTGCTCGGATCACGGACGTCTCGATGTCGATGGGGTGGTACCGCATGCCTCTCAGCTCGAGTGTTTCATCCAGAGCCCCGACCACATACAGTGCATCATGTCGTTCTGTGAACAGCACACATTTGCACACTCAGAATAGTGGGGCACACTGTGGACCTGGACACTCTCTGGTGTTGTGAGCCCCACCAGGCGTTTTCTGGCACAGGGAAATTGTGCCTCAGATATCATGTGCTATCTATCTTCCTGCACGGAGGTGCAACATGTAACTGATCCAGGAAAGTTACAGTGATGTGTGAATATGTACTTAAAATAACTTCCTCTGAAACAGAACAACCACAACTCAGTGTCTATCCAAAAGTTCTGACTTGATCTGGCAGGCCTGCGTGGCCACCTGGGATCCATGGACACTGGCCACAGCTCTGAAAAGGTCAGGGCAGGGGTATGAGGCTGGTGAGTCATGACAGCACTGCCATGCTGGTACCTGCGGCTACCAGGAAGGCTGGCTCAACCTTAGAGAAGCCTTATTGCTAATGGCCGCCACTCCTCACCCCATCCCCAGCAGAAACCAAGGAAGCAAGGATAATGAGGAGCAGCCACAGGGAGGAAAATATCCAATAGTAAGTTGGGAGAAAACCACTACCAGAGTGTCCTTATCCCACAAGTGATGTGGGATCACAATAGGTAGCTGAGGGCTCTCGTGACACCATGATGCCAAATCTGCAAGTTGGTCACAGGCTGCAGCAGCTCAACTTCTCGTGGGGCGTGGCAAGACCTCCTCTGCATACCAGTGTGCTGACAAGGGCACCCCTGTGACCTCTCACCTCCACTGGCGTCAGTGAGCTCTGTTCTTCGAAGGAAGCCGAGGTAGCCAGTCCTTGCCCAAATGGTCTGTGTGTCTCCAAAACTCAGGCGGGCGCTGAAGTGGTCGGCATGAAGTGCTTCCTCCCCATAGACCGTGTAGTACCCCGTGGCATTGTGGGGGCTGCTCACCCAGATCTGGTGGGGCCCAGAAGATGAGAACACAGCCCCATTTTACAAAGCACCACGTTGCAGCATTCTGCCAAGAGATGTCTGCTGGGCAAATAATGCTCAACAATCACTGAATGCAGGAGGGGCTGATACTCAGTGTCTCATTCTGTGAACTAAGTTAAAATGCAGGTGCAGAAAACAAACAATTTTCTCTCCTTGATTAAATGTTCCTTCTTCTGACCAGGAACGAGGTTTGTAGGGTTCTATCCTACGTGGACAGAGCACAGAGGTGACTACACATTCCCCACATCAGAAATCTGCTCCTCACATCAGAAATCTGCTGACAATGAAGAGGACTGAAAGGGACCTACATGTTCACAGGAGGGGCATTTAGAGAGACAAGGGTGGCTCACTGGACAATTTCCAGCCACTCAGGCTGATAGCACAGGGTGTCTCAGAGCTGACAAGTGCCTGCATATAGGTTTGTATGTGTCCACATATCATGTATACGTATGTGTTTACATGCATCCACAACACACCAATAGCCAGACAATGGGGTCCACTCAAAGCCCAGTCAGTCTCACACCTACAAGGCCTGGCACCCAGAGAGAAGGGGCCTCTCCCCTTGGCCTGCCATGAGAAACATTCTCATATTAGTTCAGCCCCTATATCTCTTGGTTTGGGTACCCCTTTGTCCTTGCAGACCTGAGCTTGATGGCCAGGAAGCAGAAGCGAGGGGATAGCTCCATCCTCCGTCTACACTTAGGACTGGAGCGTGGGACAACTCCCCAGCAGGATATTGTGCAGCTGCCTGGGGGTCACCCTTGTCCCAGTCAGGTGGGGCGAACTGAGGCGGCAGCTGTGTGGGCCCTCCAGGCTGGCTTTACAGCAGAGACCACAAAGGGTGCAAGGATAGCTATTTGACAGCACATTCCCGAGTGTAAACAGAAGCATAATTGTATACTTGGTAACAACAGGTCAAGGTGGGTACCAAGTTGCTGATCTCACCGTCCAACTGCCACCAAAGCCTGGACACCTGGATATAGATCTTATCTGTTTCAACTTACGGTGAGGCATGGGCATAAATGGGTAAGTCAACATAACCCACCCCTGTACAACCTCCATGTCCCTGCCCGGCCTGGGTCCTTGCCCCTGTGCCACAGGTAGAAGCCCCAACAAGACCTTGCCCCCAGCTCTTCCGGGTCTATCCTTAGTAAGGTAACCAATTTTTAAGGAGCAGCCAACAGGCTCTACCCAAAGTACTGTTTGTTCTCTGTACACTGCTGCTTCCTGTGTGGCTCCTCCTGCCCTCAGAACTTTTCTCTCTGATATGGTGACCAGAGAGGAGGCAGCTTGTCTTGTGGGACCCCAAAATCATGTGTAGGAGCTGGGTCTGGGAGACAAACTATATGGGGGGTGGCAAGGGCCAAAGAGCTTCTGATAGATTCCCAAGACACGTGTGACCCCAAAGAGTAGAATCCCCAGACTGTGGGTAGAATAGGGAGGGTGACACAGGCCCCACAGCCCAGCCCCAGGCTCAGGCTCACCTCTCCCAGGTGCGAGTCTCCAAGGGGCCCTTTTGTCTCAGCATGTGCAATGATGACCTTCACTCCAGGAAGAATCTGCAAGGAGGACAGTGTGTCCCTTGTTAAAGAAAACACAACATGAGGCTGTCTTGAAGCAGCGCCATTAAACATTACATTCTGGCCCAGCCGCTGTGGACACCAGTGAGGCACAGTCCCTGTAAGGCTGGAAGCCACACGGCCGAGTACAGGTTCAGATCCCACGGTCAGCCAGAAAGCAGGTTGGCTTTGGGCGCAGGCCCTAGGATCTAGAGAAGCTGAGGGCTGGGAAAGTAGATCATGGTGTGACGACCATGTCAGGATGCTACGTGTGCTCTCTGCGTCTCCCTGACTGTGCCCCCTACCCCCGTCTTTCTTCCACTCTCTCTCCCGGTCTCCCTCTGTCTCTGTGATCCCCTCCCCTCCTCCCATTCTCCCTCTCTCCCCTGTTCCCCCCAACTTGCCCCCCTTTGTGCCCCTCTCTTCGTCTTTCTCTCCGCCATTCTTACTCTCTCCTTCCCTCTATTCCCCCCACCCTTCCCTGTGTTCTCCCATCCTCTCCTCAATCTCTCCCTTTTCTCTCCTTCTGTGTCCTTCCAACACTTGTCTCTTTCTCATGTATGTGCACACAACATCATAAAAAAAAATCAAGTCCTTCAAAAGCTACCCTGTAGGACTGAGGTACTTGCCAGGCCAGGAACTTTAATATCTTTTTTAAATTAAGAATTATTTATTATTATTGTTTTATTTGCTGTAGGCCACATGTGCTCAGCAGAGAGAGAGCGATCGAGACGCCAGGTCCAGGACTCAAACCACAGTCAGCCATGTGGGAGTTCAGCACCTTAATCACCATGCCACCTGCTGGCCCCAGGTCAGGAAGTTTAAAAGCCACTCCAAATTTGACTTTGAATTTTAAGAGAAACAATAGCTATTCATGGAGAGAAGTTGAGAATCTTAGAAAATGATCTCTGTTCCTAAGACATCAGGAGGTGACAAAGGACCTGAGTAAGCACTCTACTCTCTCCTGGGCCTGGGTCTTTCACTTCGGCCAGACGATGCCAACGCACCCATTGGTACGTGCAGGGATCCCCTGTTCCCCCCAACTTGCCCCCCTTTGTGCCCCTCTCTTCGTCTTTCTCTCCGCCATTCTTACTCTCTCCTTCCCTCTATTCCCCCCACCCTTCCCTGTGTTCTCCCATCCTCTCCTCAATCTCTCCCTTTTCTCTCCTTCTGTGTCCTTCCAACACTTGTCTCTTTCTCATGTATGTGCACACAACATCATAAAAAAAAATCAAGTCCTTCAAAAGCTACCCTGTAGGACTGAGGTACTTGCCAGGCCAGGAACTTTAATATCTTTTTTAAATTAAGAATTATTTATTATTATTGTTTTATTTGCTGTAGGCCACATGTGCTCAGCAGAGAGAGAGCGATCGAGACGCCAGGTCCAGGACTCAAACCACAGTCAGCCATGTGGGAGTTCAGCACCTTAATCACCATGCCACCTGCTGGCCCCAGGTCAGGAAGTTTAAAAGCCACTCCAAATTTGACTTTGAATTTTAAGAGAAACAATAGCTATTCATGGAGAGAAGTTGAGAATCTTAGAAAATGATCTCTGTTCCTAAGACATCAGGAGGTGACAAAGGACCTGAGTAAGCACTCTACTCTCTCCTGGGCCTGGGTCTTTCACTTCGGCCAGACGATGCCAACGCACCCATTGGTACGTGCAGGGATACCTGGTCCTGTGACCCCGTCAAGCCTCCCAGTGCTTGAATGGGCACTGACTGCGAAGATCCTCCTACTGTGACCGTCACTCCCACTGCAGAGTGCCTGTTGTATGGAGGCCCTGACTTACCTGCCTCCTGCGCCTGGAGCAGGCAGCCCCTCACTGGCTCTGGTCAGACCACCTGGCTGCACAGGGCCCAGCCACTTACTCTGTGTCCTCAGTCTCCCTATGTCTAGAGAGGGGTGGTGACAGTATGACCTCAAGGGCAGGTAGGAGGGGGGACAAGGGTCACAGGAAGCAGAAGCCACGGTTAGTCCAGACCCTTAACACGCCCTACCCTGGGGGACTGCTCTGCCTCTTATGTGCCACTGGAGCCTCCGTCACCTAGTCACCTACGTCACCTACACCTACGTGGCCCAGCGAGCCCGAAACCATAGCTCTTAGCATAATAAAGACCCTGTCCAGATGCTTCTCTGTCACTATTTCTCTGTCTCTCGGGCCCAGCTACTATAACAGCAAAAAAGGAGAGAGAAAGAGCCCAACAAAAGTGGGTGAGCAGACAGTTATAGAGCAGCCATATATGCAGGACACCAGCACTGAGAGGAACAGCTCTGAGGCTGACTACAGGGAAATACACCAAGTTCACAAGGCAACGGATGCCTAGCTGCGTGGTGCATGAGCCGCAGCTGGGAGAAGTACATCTCTGGGCTCAGAACTGAAGGGAGGGAGCCCAGGAGCCCTGGGTATGCTGTCCTACTGAACTTCAGTGATCCACTTCTTAGAAGTTTAAGAGACATGGCAGTTTGTGGAGGCAGAGGCAAGAGGAGCTCTAGCTCACAACCACATGGGCAACACAGTGAGACGCTGTCGTGAAGGAGAAGGGTGCAGTGGCCTGGCCCTCTGGTCCCAGATGCTCAGGAGGCTGAAGTAGAAAGGTGGCCACACAGGGAGAAGCTGTCTAAACAATCCCCACCCCCCTGCACATACACCAAAAAAAAGGGACAGTGAGGTGAGCTTGGCTAAATATGAGTTTGTTCATTCAACCCTTCTGCTCCCCCAACTAGCTCCAGCCACACAGACCTCCCTGTGGCTACCACCCAAGGACTTTTGCACCAGTTGCACCTTCTGCCCCACATCACTGCCCTGTAGGAATCTGTATGCTGGTCATCACATGGCTTTGCTCTGTCCCTCTCTGGGCATCTCCTTCCCTCCATGCACACAGCTGTAGTTACAGCAGTGAATGAGCAATTGGGGTGGCCATACTCCATTTCTTGCCCCCGGGGTTGTGAATGCACAGAGAAGAGGCCTCCTGGCTGCCCCTGGCTTCTGGACGCACAGCAGTGCCTCATACAAGCCTGTCTTGCTTTTGGTACTGCCCCACCAGGCTCTGAGGGTTTTCCTCCTTCCTCTGAACCTTCTTTGGTTCCAAGGCTTCTTATTCTCCTGTGCTACATCTGCTGACCTCACAGAGGCTCCACTTATGCCTAAGTGTCCTTGGGCTGTCACATGCAACCCCCAGCCTCCATGTGGGTCCAGGATTCCACTTCTTGCCCCAGGTCCTTGTAGGAGCCTCTTCCCAGCCATCATCCAGACCCAGGGCTAGGGAGGCGCCTTAGACTTTACAGTGCAGGTGGCTGTGCCCCTTGCTCCACAGCCCTGAGCCTAGAGGCTTACATCGGCCAAGTGGAAGTTCCTTTTCTCTTTCTGCTCCTGACGTTTAAAGACTTCTGTGAGTCTACACTAAAGGAGAGCCCCAGGCTCCTGAGCATCCCAGCCCACCCCAACCAGAAGTCGATCTGTGACTGTTAGGAGAACTCGCCCCCAGCACCTTTCTCGGAGTGATGTTTGAGACAGAAAGGACGGAATGCGTAAGTCTCAGCTTCCACTACCTTTCCAGACTCCATCAACGGCAGACTATGCGGAGAACCCCGTTCTACCAAACGTACCCTAAAAATTAACAAGAGAAAATATAAGAATAAAGCTACTACACAGATAGTAATTTCTAAAAAGGCAAATTATGAAGTCATTGGAAATTGATTATCACTCTGAGGGCAGTTTGTCACAACAGACAGGAGGCTCTTCAATAAAAGACTCACGGAATGCCTCAGCAGTGACTTTGGGGTGCCGCACGGAGTATCTCAACGCAAAGGGTCCTGTGGCGAGAGTGCCCGTGTGACCCCCCACCTGCTCTGTGTGCTCACAGCAGCAGCAGCTCTACATTTCTTTTGGATCTACCTCGGACTCGTCAATCTGGGCACTCAGTGAGCTGCACGTGCAGCTTACACCGAGCGTGGCCATGTTTGGGGCTCCAGAATCAGGATCCAAGCTTTGAAGCTGGGAGGGGCCTGATACTCATCTGAGCACAGAGAGCAGACACGTGCCAGGCTCCATGCGGTTACTGATGTGAAAACTGAGGCGGACGTTAAAGTAGCCTCAAGTGGAAAAGCTCTTCCATGAGTTGTCCATCTCCTACCAGAAGCTCAATGTCAAATGTTTGATTACATTTATCCCCTTGTCTGGTTGTGTGAGTGACAGAAAAGGAGTGCCCATCTCAGTGTCCTGAGGACACAGGGAAATTCAGAGACAGAAGCCTAAGATTCTCCCAGGGAACACCCCTAAGCAGAGCAGATGTCCCCTGACTTGGCCAGCTGGGCACTAACGTCCAGGTGCCGGGAGCCCTGACTCGGCCAGCTGGGCACCAATACCCAAATGCCCTGGATGTGCGTAGTTCATGTGGCTCCAGCTCATGGCACCTGCACTGGGCATGGCTGAGTTGTACCAGCCAGGACCTACCTGTCGTGGCGCAGCGCCCGCATGTCCACGTAGACGGTTGTGGGGTCCGGGCCAGCTGTGCCCTGGAAGAAGAGCAGCAGAGCGACTTGTGTTCAGGGTCTTCCTGTACAGCTGCATGGCAGCCCCTCCTGGGCCTTGGGAATGCCCAGGAAGGTGATAGCTCTGTGCCCTGCAGGGAGTATGTCCTGGGACTCAGGGTCCCCCAGGGCAAGGCTGATGTTTTCCATCCAAACACCCACAGATCTTGATAATACTGAGTGAGACATTCAATAACAGTGGATAAAAATACCAAGTGATATACTCTTACATCTCGGTCCTAATGGCTTCCTAGACCCACTGCTCTTTCGAAATGCCATACACTTGGGGTATTGCCCCAGAGCAGGTGGGTGGGCAGTGCTGGATCTCTTCTGCTAACCTAACTCCACTGGGATTGAGCAAGCCACGACTCACTTGGACGAGACAGAACACAGGCTCCACCTCTCTCTCCTGAGTAGTTTTACATTTGACACGGATCCTAATCAGAGGACACCATGTGCCATTTTATTAGATAAGGAATATAAAAATAAACAGGCACTCCAATAACCATCGCACCCAAAAGATCCCAGACTACAGAACCTATACCTGTTCTGGAATTAGAAAAAAAATTTCTGCACTGAGACTAAACACAGCCCTGTCTCCCAAGGTAATGATATAAAAGTTCAATTTTTGGGAAAAATTTTGGTTACAAAGGAATTTTTGAAACATGCCAAATAATATCCACTGTGAACAAAGTAAGACAGCAAAAAATAACATGAATTTTTCTGGGATTCACAAGAAGGTCACAAGAACTCACAGGGGAGGGGCTGCAGAGACACTACTAAGTGGAAGTCAAGGTCGTACCTGCTCAGCCAGCTTCCCCAGCCTGTTGGGCTGACAGAGGCCAAGGAGGCCAGCAGAGGGAGACAAGGAGGAGACAGCCACAGGAGACAGACAGAGGCACAGCCACGGGAGGAGCACACAGTGAGAGAGAGCAAACACGTCACTGTATCTTGCAGAGCAAGTGTGAACATCCCATTAAGATTTCTGCCATCACACTTGGTATTTACATACCAAAACAGAACAGATACCCAGGCACCCAGCAAGGAGGGCACAGGCTTTCAGATACAGTCACTGACTACACCCCAGCACCCCAGTGCTCAATCCTGCTTTCCAACAGGAAGGCCCCCCCCCCAATCACCTCTGCTAGATGGCAAGGGGCTTAGGCCCAGAGCAGTTAAGAGTGTTTTCCTGGTGGAGAGGCCTTGGCACATGAAGCAGGATGACACTGTTGCAACCTGCGTGCCCTGCACTTTCTGTGAGGATAGAGCACAGGCTGAGCAAACACTCTGAAATTGAGAAGCAGCCCCATACCCCAGCCCTGCTCTGGCACAGTAGACCTCTTCCTCCCAGCTTTCTTTGTACTATGGTGGGGAGAAATGAGGGATTTGACACGAGATAGTTCATCAGCTATTGGTTTTCAGGCGTTTGTAGAAATGAGACTGAGACACCAGTAAAAAGTTTAGAAGATACTGCATCCTCTGCAGAGCAATGGGCAGCCTGTGTCTGGGCCTCCTGCCTTTAGTAAGAAACACCTGACAGTATCTCAATGTATCTGGGTCAACACAAACAATGACTTTTATCAATGTTTCAATTTAGGATGATTAATAGCTTAAAATGGTCAGTTTAGTCTTGCTTTAAACAGAGAGTCAACTGCTTGTTTCCTCACCTTAGAGACTCTTGCAGGTAAGTCAACAGTCACTTTTCCAAAAACAACTTGGGTTTTTTTCAAATACATGTTCATCAATAGGAATAAGGTAAGAATTAAGGGACCAGCAGTTGGCGTAATGGCTATGTCGCTGGACTCCCATGTAGTTGACCACAGTTCGAGTCCTGGACCCGGTGGCTTAAACTCACGCTGGGCGTGTGTGCGTGCGTGCGTGCCCAAGATCCCGAGAGGAGAATGGAGGAGAAGGGATTGCGGTATGGCCATTCTCCCTAAGGGGTGATTTCTCGCTTTCGTCTCTCTCTGTTTTCCTGGTGAGAGCACGCGTTCTATAGCTAAAACCTCTCAAAAGAAAAAAAAAATTAAAATTAAACCCTCACAGCTCTCAAAGTTAAAATGTGATGTGGAGATGAAACATCACAGGCTCAGAGGAGAAAAAGGCCAGGCTGGTGCAAGGCTGCACACCTGGGGCTGATATCTTACCTGGAGACAGATGGCCACATTGACCCTGCACCCAAAAGTGGTGCTCACGGCACGTGCAGGCAGGCCCAGGTCCTTGAACAGCTTGGAGAAGGACTGCGTAAGTGCGATCCTGGGCCGCTCCTCAGCAACTACCATGCATGTGCGCACACAGGACAGGTTCACTCCCTTCATCTGCCAGGGAGTAGAGAGTCAAGCCATGAGGCCCATAGTGGGGGTCCTGGGCCCTAAGCACCATCTTCATAAGTTTCTGGTTTGACCCCTTGTGGTTTGGCCCTAGGTCTGAGCACACCTTGGCCTATGTTAGCAAATAGGAATGCTAGGTATGAAGCACTGGGCCTGCCACCACCCATATCTGTCCCAGGTCTGCTCTCTGACGCAGCCAGGCCTCCACACTACAATCTCCACACCAGCCCCGGGGATGGGGGACCCCCATGGCATGTTCTGAGCTAGCACTGGGCATCCCTTGGCCCTGTCCCGGTGCCTCCCCACGGTCAAGCACTCACCCTGAGGGCGCCCGTCTGCGCGCCCAGGCCCTTGGTGCACATTTCCATCACTGAGTAGGAGCAGAAGGTGACGCGGGCCTTGTACTGGCTGGGGGCTGACAGCCACAGGGACACGTTGCTCTCCAGTTCCAGTGGGGGCACCAGCACCGACTGGTGTCCAGAGTAGACGCTGTAGGGGGCGGGGCCTCAGGCCAGGAAGGCTTGCTGGCCTTTCCTTCCTGGGATACCTTTGTTCTAGTCAGGACTGGGGCATGATTCTGTGCTAAGGCCATGGGTGGTTGGCACAAAGCTTGTCCAGGGTGGATGTGGGATGACACCCACAGGGTCATGCCCTCCAGGACCCCTGGGGGAAGGGCCACTTCTGGAGACAGACCTCCACTGTCTAGATCTGGAGGAATAAAGTACATTTCTTCTACTTATTAATAATGGATAATGTCTGCATTTAATAAATGTCCTGTTTTTACTTTTTCACTAAATTTCAAATCCAGATTCAACCCACTTCCTCCCTACACAAACTCACTTGCATGTCTTTTCAGCTTCCTGGGCACTCAAAAAAGGCACCTTGGAACATTAAGGTTCTCAAGAAACACAGGAGCAATTCCAGGTCAGCTGGTAGGCATGTGAGACACCTGCACACTCACCTGCACAGACACCACAGGGCGAAGCCAAGGCCGCAGTAGGGGTCGAGGCAGATGGCGATCTGCCGCGAGGGGTACAGCTCACATTGCAGCTTGATGGAGCGGCACAAGGCACTTGTGGCTGCGTGGGACATCTTTAAGAGCGAGATAAAAGGCCTGTTCAGTGCCATGAAGGGAGAGGGTGCCAGACAGGTGTGTAGCTCCAGATAGCAAGCATCACATTTACTTCCTTAAAGGATGGCTGGCTCAAATTCCCATATAACTGGAACAACACCCGGGAAATGGCACACTAAAGATCTATGACAAAGTTTCAGGATAGCAAAGACTTAATTGAACTCTTAGCTTCTAGTGACCAAATAATCTCATCAGAGTCACCTGTTGCTGGAGGCTGGACAATCATAAATCAGGAAGTTCAGACATATCAATAAAAAATAAAAAAATGCAACCCTCTCAGGCTAAGCTAATTTGGGGGCTCACTGGTGTTAACACAGCGTTGAGAAGCAATGCTGTTGCTTTCTGCCCTGGGTAAAGAGGACCGCCTACGCCTGTATCTTGTGCCCTTTCTGTCTACTCGCGCCAGGCTCCTGGGGCTGAAGCAAGCAGGACCTACCTTCACCCCCGCTAATATCCCAGTGGTCGACACGCTGAAGTCCAAGTACGCGAGCACGTCTGGGGAGGGGGGTCTGAAAATGCTAGCTACCTTCTTTTTTGGCATGTCATCTGTTAAACAGAAGACATCGCGACGTTAATGTTTCTGTGTGTATCCTGAAAGGCAGAGCTCCCGGCTCCCGTAGACGAAGGTGAGGCGTGATTTGTACGTGGGAGCCCTGCAGAGAGTGAACCAGCCACAAGCGAGGCTGTGTGAAAGCGGCTGGGGCCCTGTGG